AAGATGTCACGACAAGAAAGTACAATGAAGCTAATGTGCAAAACGACAAATGTTGAATACAAAATGTTTATAGTCTGTGGTTACAATGCAAATCTGTTTTTATTTTAGCTTTCTTGACAGTAAAATGTGGTTGTACATTTGAAGACTACATGTGGTAGCGTGAGCTTTGAGTATACTCTTTGATTTAATAACTGATAGATACATTTAACTTGCTTCGACGTGTTATTTCTTTCTGCCACTTTTTCAAGCACAGTATTGGACGATAACTACAAATACGTCATGCATGTCGGACCCCAAGCATAGCTGCCCTCTCTCATTGAAAAAGTAACTTAGACAAAGTTACCAATGGCAATTTTTGTTTCATTTGGGTTCACTGGGTCCTCCCTCGATGGAGATCATCTAAATACACAAAATCTCCCGTAGGCCCACCGCCAAATTTTAAAAGAGAAATTTTAAAACTCCATTAACTGGGAATGTGTGTGTGGTTCACAGGTGACAACTAAGTCGGTGGCGCAGTGTGTGGAGTTTTACTACACGTACAAGAAACATGTCAAGATCGGCCGTAACGGGACGCTGATTTACGGCGAGGCAGAACCTCTTGAGAGCAGGACCACTGAGGAGGAGATGGACCACAAGGTCAGTTACATGCTATGTTTAATGCCTGCTCTGCAGAAACACATGTGTTTGCTGCTGACGTAAAGATGTAAAGCCGGTCACTTGAGAGAATTAAGCCTCCCTGACATTAAGCAGAACAAACCTGCTACAAGCGGCTATGTCCCAGAAGCAATTGTAGGATGTAAAATAATGATTTTAAAAGGATTTCCCTGAAAGCTAGAACAGTGTAAGCAGGGACGTATAGGCTGATCTAGTTAGAAATCAAGGGTGTTATGATTAGACATGAAACAGCAGAGTATCGGTGCAGAAATACTGCAGCTCAGAATATCTTCATTGACCACTTGAGACTGTGTGAATGACTGCAGCTCACCCCACCTATGTCACCACAGTCTCAGCAGTACAAGTACAAGCAGTTTCGGAAACATTGCGGGTAAAGTTTGGTGGTTGTTATAGTAACTGTGCGAAGAAATACCTTTTTTTTAACCCATGTTCAAGAGATGCAATTTGACAGTCTACTACAGAGCTGCTAGTTAGCACCCAGCTGTAAATGTCTCTCCTAGAGGCTTGTCTTACGCGTACGCTTGTCTTCCTTGGCCAGCAGGGCTCTCACAGGTTGGAGCCACAACGAGAGGAGGACAGCAGGAAGTGGGAGGGGTCAGCAGATAGAAAACAGGATGTCGGCCCCGCCAGGGTGGCACACACGCTGCAGTCCTCCGACAAAGTGAGTGTGAAATTGAGTATCAGCTCTGCCTGGGAAAGGAACCCCTGAATGAATGAATAAATATTAGATAAGGTGACAGTTTTTGTATGCGTCATCCCACATGAGGAATTATTCAATTGTCTTTGTCCTCAAAAAAAAAAAAAGGTTAAACAAATACGATTTCATTGTCTAACCCATAACATCACTGTTCTGTACTTTCCAATATTAACCAATCCCCCCACCGTGTTGCCTCTGTCATGGAAAAGATATCAAGTTTTGTAGTGAGAACAGTTGTTTTTGTCTGATCAGTTTGCTTTCCCTCATTTTCCTACTTTTTATTAACAACTTAAGAAGCAACTCCTAAAGTTTAGTGTGTGTGTGTATATGTATGTATGTATGTATGTATGTATATAATTTCATTCATTCACACACTCTCGTGTCAGGCTCTTGGAAGTGATCACAGTGATTTTTCTCTCACTGTTAGCTTTTTTTCAAACTGTCTTTTTGAGCTCTTCATCCTGAATTTCAGCTACAGCGATAAGTCTTGGCAGCTCGACATATTATAAATATCAATTATAAAGATGTCAGGAGTTGTTTTCCCTCATAAAGAATTTATTTCCTCTGTTGCATAAAACGTCTGACTAACCGTCAGAAAGTGTCATAGCTTTAACTGGGCTTCATAAACACTTTTAAGATTGACTCACTAAAAACGGACTAGACCGAACTTGCTAGCTTAGAAACTTAGGTCTACAAACAACCGTTAATGTAACACTGTAGGAGCCAGTACACGCCGTTTCAAAAGAATGTCTAGCGAAAATACTGTATTTTTCAAACGTAGTTTACAGGGGAGAAAAAAAGTAGTATGGGTCATTTAATGTTTTGTTAATAAAAATAAATAAATACAACCATGCAAAATTCTAATAAATCACAGAAGTAGGTCAGTACTCCAGAAAGATGGATGGTAACCATCATAATTACTGTCATTGTTGTATGTGTTAATTAATGCTGTGCTGGTTTTTATTCTAATTATCATACAGTATGTTTAAGTATCTTGTTTATGCTAAGGTGTAATTTTCTAAAAGCCATAAAAGTACTTTGTACTTGAGCCAAAAGCTCATGCAAAGACCTCTCCTTTAAAAACTCAAGGAAAGAGAAACAGAATTACATTAAATAAAAATGGACATTATTTTGAATTTCCACATGTTCCTCGTTCAAAACCGCAGTTGGCCTCTTCAGACTTCACACGTTTGTCCTTTTGAACCCTACCCGACTTGGCCTTGTGGATGGTTGTTGGATTTGCTGCCCCCTGCTGGATATTTTAGGGACGATAACTTGGCTGATGTCCTCTCTGGATTGTGTAACCACATTATGTCTGTTAGCAAAACAATGACTTGACAAGAAACCTTTATCTTCATTATGTGGATTGCATTTCCCCTTTTTTAGCACACCTAATAAGTTAGTGATAAAAGTGCCAGACTGTGTGTGATTTTGTGTGTGAGTATGTAAATCAGCTGCCCATTGTTATATCATCGTACATAAAAGGTGCTCATAAAGTAGCTTCATTCTTTATATCCTAATTTCTCTCAGTGACTGTGTTAAACATCTTGGGAGCGTTCACGTTAACTACACCTCTTTACTGTTTGTGCAGCCTGGGACCGTGCTGATCATGAAAGGCCAGGAGGACGTGGGGAGGGACCAGCCGCCGTCCCGGGTCATTCACCCCCCTCCTCCCCCTCCTCCCAGCTCCAAAACGCGCTACGACAGCAACGCACGCAAGACCAGCCCATCAACAGGCAATAAAGGCTCAGCTGGTCAGGAGGGAGAGTTCCCCTGCAAGAAATGTGGCAGGTCAGTGATCACAAATATCCCATCAGTCACTGTTGTTGCGCTGGAGACGTTGGCATGGCTCTGTTTACTTATGCAAAGCTGACAACAGCAGTCACTTGAGTTACATAAGTGCCCTTGGACTGAATTAGCCAGATTTAAAACGCAGAATTTCTCCAGGAAATGTTGCCACCGCTATGGCCCACTTGGAATATGTATCGGTAAACAGAGGCAAGTGTCTTAAAGTGTTAAAAACTAAACCATCCTGTCATGCTTTGATTAAACAGTCTGTCCTTTGGCAACACCGGGCCTGTTACTGTCAACTGTATCCTAGCAACTGAAACACAGAGTAGATATGTCAATGCAACTCTACCCAGTCACTTGACAAAAGCTTCGCTCAACCTTTTTAAATACCTGCTCAAAGTGTGCTCATTATATATTATCCACCACTACCGAGGCTGATGATACACGTTACAGGAAATCTAACCAGGCTTGTTAGCCATTTATATGCATAATTTGAGAAAAGTTTCAGTCCCAGTGCACATGGCTGCACATGTCATGCTGTGTCACATGCTGTGATATCCATTGTTTTGTCATTACTTCCAGCATCATACTGAACTTTGACCACAGTCTTTATGAAGAGACTAATAACTATTACAAATAACTATTACAAAAGTATTGACTTTAGAAACAGAAAATCTCTACATACATACAGTGTCAAACAGAAAGTCAGTGACCCCCAGTTAATATCTTTTGGTTGATTATTTTTGTGCTTTCTACCCTTTTGGAACCAATTTCACAGTCTGGCTGATGAGACTTCTGCTCATGTTGAAGTTGTGCGTTGGTATTCTGGAGTCACCAAACTCTAAAAATTTTGTTTTTGATTTTGCTGCTTTAGTACCTTCTCTCTGTCTGATTATGTGACCAAGCAGCGCTTCCAACACGGCATGAGTCTGACTTGAATGCTGTCAGATTAAGTCAACAAAAGCCCAAGTTGGTAAATGTACAAAAAGAGATTAAATCCTTCTTCTTAAGAGAACTGTAATAAATGTATAATTCAACTGTCATCTCCTTTCACACAAAGTAAATAAAACCTGGTTAACAAACTGAATGTGGACAAGCTAATTTTAGGTAAAAATGTTACCTTCTCCCTCAATATGATGCGGAGCAAAATGCATCTTAAAACTCATACGACTACAGTAATAATCAGACCAGCTCCCTACCTCCTTTTTATATATTTTTTTCATTTCCCCCCATGGAATAAATTAATATCCAATAAAAGGCTTCAGCTTTTGAGCAAATAAGAATAATGTGAGACTCGGAACTTGACACCTTCTCATTTTATGCTTGTGCTTAGTTGGACATTTTAATGTAGGTAGCAGAATTCTCCATCAAAGACATTATTAAACTGATGAGTTTATTAGAGGATTCATCAGTGAGAAGCAGGGCAAGCTTCCCTCGTGTTGTCATTACTTATTCATTTCCAATGCCTTCTAAGATGCGTTTTCAAATCCATCATTGATGCATTCTGTGAAAGAACAGAGAACCCTTTTCATCCTCGATGTTGTTACTTTTATACTCAGCAGTGGCACCACTACCCTGTCTGCACAAGACTGTAAGAAACATTAGTGTAATGCCTACTGTATGTCTGAATGATTAAAAAAGCCCTGACTATAGCAGCTTGGTGAAGCCAGTAATGTTATGTTCACGTCTGAAAAGGCAATAAGCTCTTCCTTCTTTCCTTTAGGATTTTCTACAAGGTAAAGAGCCGCAGCGCCCACATGAAGAGCCACGCCGAGCAGGAGAAGAAGGCTGCAGCGCTGCGCCAAAAGGAGGCAGAGGAGCGAGCGGCCGCAAAAGCAGCCGCAGAGGCCGCTGCCGTCCTCGCTGCACGGCAGCAGAACGGGACACGGCAGGTGGCCGGGGACAGCACCAACGAAGACTCGTCGGACAGGGACGACGAGGACGACGAGGACTGGCAGTAAGAGAAAGGACGCACACACTGACTGCTCCACGCAGTGTGGCTTTACTCTCTGAGAGGGGAGGAGAGTTTTTTTAAAAAAACAAAGAAGAACCCCTCCTGTGAACTTTGTGTATATTTTGTAGAACAAGACTTCCTTTGCTTGGCACATTCAGGGACAGGTTTACTCCCGTGTGTGTGTGTGTGTGTGTGTGTGTGTGTGTGTGTGAGAGAGACACACACACAACGGCTGTATGTGCTTTCCAAAACTCACCAACGCCCCTTTACTCTGCTTGAAAAGCTTTTCAAGAGTTACCTCTCTTGGTCACAGGGCTCAGTCAAATCAAAGCCATGCCACCTCTCTCTGCGCTGTCCTGCTCTACATGCCAGGCCGCCGCCTTTCTCAGCACTTCGAGTCTTCGCCCTGCGTCCTTTTGAAAGGCGTGGAACTTGTCAGCCCCCCCCCCCCCCCCCCCCCCGCCAACTCTTGATGAGCCGCAGCTCGCGCTTGCTTAAGCTGCAAAACCAACTGGATGAAGATGGAAGGATGGATGGCATGTGCAAACTGTTGCCTTTGTTTTCATCGTTCTTCTGCACTCAAGGCTGCCAAAAGCTTTCTCAGACGCATGATGTGCACCAAATGGGTTGCCTCTCTGACAGCGTTGTTCATTTGGGCTTTAGTTCTGTGAATCCCCCCTCAGCCCTTGTCACTTTTTTAAAATTCTCAGTTTGTTCCTCACTGTTGATGCCTTGGATGTTTTGATGCTTTTTATCTTGAAATGACAATCAATTTTACACTGTTGTTGTTTTTTTTTTTATAAATATATACAGGTAAATGTTACTTTTTCTGCCTGTGTAGCTATATATAGTTATTGTTGTTTTTGTGAATATTCTTGTTGATTATTATTCATATTAATATTATTATATCCTGGTTTTGGCTGCAATTTAATTCAGCGCTTCTCCGTACTTGTCCATAGCTTATCTTTCTTTTTTTTTTATTTAAACAAAAAACAAAAATAATGCTACTTGCTGCCTGTTTATAACTGTGAGATTTATTGGGAAGCCAGAAATGAAGAAAAGGCAGAAATGTATGTGCAATAGAACAAGTTGACCCCCTGTTTCTTCAGTGCCCAAGCCCTCCCCTTCTTTGTGTCATGCTCTGGATGCCTCTCTGTCAACTCTGTAACTGATAGGAGGTACTGACTCGGGCTGTTGAAACCGCAGGTCACTATAGATACACATAACAAAGTGGGAAAGACAACAACCGGTGCAAATGGACTCAAGACACATTTTGGAAAGATTGTTATGACATGCTTACTGCCCTGATATTTTAACTATAATTTTACATCCACGTTCTCTTTGTTTGTATATACAAACAGGCCGTGAGAGAAGCAGAAGCATTCTGTACTGCAAACCAAACTTAACCCAGATTTTGCAGGTTTTAACAGGAAATTTTGAATGCTGACGAGACATGCATTTGCTTTTAGAACCAGGTATCACATACACGAAATGGCTGTCAGAGATTTCAGCTGGAGTTTACATTTTACACCTTTTCACCTGTTGTTGATTTGTATATTTTCTAATGGGCAGTAAGAGAAACAAAACATTCTTTGCTGTAAACCAAACTTAACTCAAATTTTGCAGGTTTTTACAGGCGATTCTAAGTGCTGTTATGTATATTTTCACACTTAAGTCCCTGTGGGCTGATATTTGGTTACTTTCTCTCTCTTTTGCCAGCACGGACAAGCGTCTCAAACTGTGTTTTGATCGTTGTACAGGGTGAAGAGCGCGCCCTGCTGATACCTTGTCTATGTAGGTCAGCAGTTAACTGAAGGGCAGCAGCGTGACACAGCTTACAAATGTATTAAGGAAAATGTTGAACAATGAAAAAGGAACAACTTGATGGGGAAAAATGTGCAAATGTGGTCAAATTTAAATGCATATTTGACTGTATAGTGGTGGTTAGGAAAGAATTCATAACATCTGAGGTGGACAAACTGCCTGGCTGTTATTAAAAGCTAATATCAGCTCAATACGTTCATCTGTCTACCCCTAACGTGTATCTATGGTTGACCTTTTTTCTCTGTTTACCTTAATGCTGATAGCAGGCACTGAATTGGACTGTGGAAACGACACGTTGTGATCCGTCTGTCTCTACATATCTCTATTTTAAGCCCTTTCGGCTAGGAGCCAGTTTCTGTTGCCATAGCAACAAATGGGTTAAAGGGTTATTTTTCTTTAAAGGACAAACCACATAGTGGGGAGTTTGGGGGAGCAACTGGGAAAAACGGCTCCACTTACCAGTTACTTCACAAGTTAAACCTGGGTCTATGCACAGACTGTGTGTGTGTGTGTGTGTGTTTTTGTGTGAGAGAGAGAGAGAGAGAGTGGTCAAATGTTAAACTGTAAGCCAGTCAATGAAGAAGAAAAAAAGTTTTGCAGACTGTTCACATGTTTGGTATGTTAATTTATATTTCCTTCTGATTTGGGCTTGTCTTGAGGTTCTCACGGCGGGAGAGTTGTTATTTTAAAGAAGAATTAGAGATGAAATCGAGGCCACGACACAAACACAAAGCTGTAAACTTTCCTCATTGTATCTGGTCGGTTAAGGGAATTTTAAAGGGGACAAAAGGTTTATTTAGCTAAAGATTAGAAAATATATATGAATGAAATTCTATGTTTGCATACTTTCTATGCTATTTTCATATGGGGTTCACACTAATGATGAAAACGGAAAGGAATCTCAAGTGCTTTTTACTACAGTGTAACTTATTTGTTTTCGATTTGATTTTTACCACCTGTGTTTTTAGTAATGATTTATGAAGCACTGTATATTAAAGTTTTAAAATATTCATGAAGCCTTTGGTGTCTTTTTATTTATTTTTTATTTCTCCATTATCTACCGCCAGACCAAGAAGGGAGGGGGGGGTGCTACTACTGATGGTACCATGTCAGAGAAGAAGCTGCACAAGGGGGCAGCATTGTTGCGGCAATCATGCACTCAAGTACCTGCAAAGAGCAGTGGAGGGCACTGTTGTAACGTGTGTGTGTGTATAAAAAAATATTGTTATGAAATAATGTTGTGATAATGATGTAAAGCCCAGTTGCCTTGCCCAAAATGCACACACTTCCCTGCCTTCAGAAAGGGTGGTATCTAAACGTAATGCCACACCTTTTGCCTCTGTTTACAACTTGGCGTCCCTTGTAAAGCATAAAGCAATCACTAGATATCTGGCTCAGTCAAAACAGACATGAAGTGTGCATTTTCTTAATGCCAAGATACATCTTATTTGAATTCCCCTTACATGCTGCATGCATTATGTTCTGCTTTCCTACTGTAAGATTATTCAGTTTATAGCTTTTCTTTTTATTTAGACCTGTCACTATATTTTGTGCTCCCATGGTGTGTTTCACCTCCTTGATGAAAAAAAAAAAAAAAAAACCCAGCAGCTTCAGTGTGAAAAATGTGACTATAACTCCCATGTCTGTGTCTATTTGACCGTGATGATGTGGGACAGTGAAGAGATAACTGTAGTGCAGTAGGACCTGACAGTGGAGATAAAATAATGATGGGAACTGACAACTCCCACTAGCAGCAGGGCGAGCAGCAGGGCAATCTGGGAAAGGCAAACAAGAACAGCATGTAGCTCAGACGTGTCCTTGCGTACTCTTTTTGCTTGTTCCAAAACGTTGGAGGAGGAGGAAGACAAATGGGAGTAGTGGGAGTCAAAGAAGGGAGGAGAGGAGTGCAAGAACACAACTTTATCTAACTTGATCTTACAGCTGGAGAAAATTACAGATCAGAGCGAGGTCTTAGAGGATTTCAGTGGGGAAACACTGAATCCCTAAACTGCACAAAAAGCTCATTCATATCCATCTCTGTGTCATTTGAGTTTGAAAAATTGCATTCACATTTTAAATTTAAAAACTCACATCTGAGAGATTCCTCCAACTTTTATGGTAACTTGTATTCGCGCTGGTATTACAGAGCATCTATCACATGGACATAGACAGGCCACAGGTGATTTATCACAGCCATCATACAGCCAGTCTCCAAATCCCTCAAGGGCTCAGACAACATGTGTCGATAGAAAACCCTGCGAACGTGACCAGGAGCTCTCCCTGTGCGTGAGAACAAAACTGTGTGTGGGAGTTAGAGAGTGGAAATGAATGTGGGGATTTTTTCATGCCCTCACTCTCTTTTAATCATTCAATGAGTGTGTGCAACTCATCCCTATAATAGTGCTCAACCTCAATATGATATACTCCAGCAGAAGGTGTGATTTAAGGGCTCTCAGACAAATCCTGGAGGTATCTGCCACAAAGGAGTTTAATCTATTAAACGTCAGATGACGATACGATAATTTCCCAGACCCCAAGGTTACATCTTTATTTTGTTTTGTCCAATACAACAGTCAACGAACTTAAATGTATTCCAGATTTTTACACAAAAGTGCAAGTTGAAAACCAACATGGGCAATTTGCTCCTTAGATTATGTATGGCCTTTTGATTCTGTGATGCCAAAATGTACCTTTTGGTAGCCTTTGCATGTTAAAAGAAAAAAAAAGTAACAGGTGAGAATTAGTGCTGCCTATGTGTTGCTTCTAACCGATTCATCTCAGTGTCCTTGTTCACTTAGCGGGGAGAAGAGGGTGTATCAGTGTGCACTGCTGTCTACCACAGTATCTTTTTTAATAATACCACAAGGTGTCGCCAAAGTCTGAAGGTTTGAAGTCCTACCAAGAGGAGCTTTAAAAAGAAGGTTACAAAATAACAGTCAAAAAACTTAGACTAAAACTAGGGTATTTTAACATTTCATGCCAATTTAATCCATATCCAATCCTAATCGACCAGAGATTTCCCCTCAGGATTCAAAACAGAATTAACCGAATTAACAGATCAGTTTGTTTAATATTAAAATTGTTTATTAGTTTTCTGTCAATCCACCAATTGCTGCAGCACTGGCTCCAAACTCAGAAATAGGAAGGGGAGGGTGCAAAGTGTTCACAGCCCCAACTAATGGTGTCCAAGGTTTAATTGCTGTCTAATAGGGAGGCTCTTGTTATTGAGGCTGCTGGAAGCCTAATTGGAGCAGATGACTGTTTGCCAGACTCTTACCCTTTGGCTTAAACATGGGAAAAAACATGATTGATGCACCAAGATGTTTTTCGGAGATCCAGGCTTTGGCTCAGAGGCCTGGCCGCCTCATTATCTACCCCAGCGCAGAGTCTTCCTCCCGGGCTTGGAGGCTCTGATGAATCCCCTCTCAGTGTGCGTTCAGGGGGAGCTGGCCTCCATACAAATGGCAGCAGCTCGTCTTTTCTGCACACACACTGGAGCCTTATTAGCAATTACAACGCCAGAGGGCCTATTTATACACATCTGCTGAGACAGGGCACTGCAGTGGAAACAGATACATCCAGCAGCACTAATCAACTGCAGCCCAGGCCGGGTAAATGAGATGGGAGGGAGGCTAGAAGGAGGTAGGGAGTAATGTGAGGAGGGGAGGAGGGAAATTGATGGAAGGTGGGAATGACAGCCATCCATATTCAATTACAGAAATGAGCACCAGATTCTGCTCAGTAAATGCCTCACTTCTTATCCTTAGGCCTGACATCTCTGCACGAATGAAACTCTGCTGGAGCCTCTCGACTGATACGTTCAGCCAGACTCCAAAAGGATGCTTTACAGGGCTCACGGCGCTCCCTGAGTTGCAATTTCTCAAGACATGAGGTTATGCAGGACATGTTTCCGAATTTCACATTCTGAATTTTATTTCGCCGTGTGATGATGATAGGAGAGGTGTTGAAAGTGTTCCAGCAGAGTAAACCTGTGGTTTAAAGAGCTTTAAAGAGGGATCACGTGTTTTTTCTGTATTTTTTAAATTAATTAAACAAAAAGAGTATCTTCACTGCAGTATGCATTCAAGCATGGAAGCACCCTTTTGATGTAACATTTCAAGAGTGTTGGCTAAATTACTGCCAGCAAAGCAAAAAAAAAATCGTTCACACTATGATATGTATTAACAGTTAGTAATAATTATTTCTGAGTTATTTTAGGAATAGCCTTTTAAGTGAGTGAAAAGTATATAGTTGATTTCCTGTTCACATCTTTCTTTTACGCCCTGAAATCACATTAACCGGTTTGGGAGTGGAAACTCTGAGTGGACCATGTGTGCACTGACTGGTAAATGTAAAGGTTATTTTCAAAAATAAATGGTCTACTTTCAAAAGACAGATGTTCAGATTATTAATAGCATGTTGGCAGAGGCATATGTGTGTTTAAAACTTAAAACTGCCTGATTTTATAATCTCCACGTTTTCACACGTCTGATACAGTCTTCATTGTTTTGCTTGAGGACATGAAGTATTCTCCATTTGTCTTCTCTCACTGGTTGTGTGTTAGAAACTGTGTGGCACAAAAGCAGGAAGGCTGTGGTTGTGGGGGCTGTGGCAAACTCTTAAAGGGCCTACAGATTCCCTTTTATTAGACTTAGAGCAAGTTTAGTAGAAGAATAAAAAATCCTATTTACAGCAATAACAACAAGCTAGTAAGTAAACAAATTAGTTTATCCCTCTTTTTTTAAATAAATGTGTATTAACTCTGACATGCACATCTGAACCTGTGTTTCCAGATTTTACCACAGACGTTCAGGTTGAACACCAATATGGACATTTGCTATTTAAATTCTGTGGCGCCTTTTGATTCTCTATTGGCAATATTTACCTTTTGGTTGCCTTTGCATGTTAAAAGGCAAAAAAGTAGTGAGAATTAGTCTGCCTAAGTGTTGCTTGTAGCCGATTCAACTCAGTGGTTCAGTTTGGTGGGGAGAGGGTTTTTTTTACAATAAATTGACAATTATTTTATTGATTCGTTGGCTGATTTTTACCCAGCTATACTTTGCTTTCTTTAAAATACATGTTAAAATTAATCTCTCTCTCTTAACTTAAAATAAACTAAACTGAACTAAATGTAAGCCCATTTACAACCTAGCATCCACACCTTTAAGCTGATATGATGAATCGTGGCCACCCAGTTCTGCATGTATGCAAGAGTTATGTTAGCCGTGAGACCCATACACACTTATTTTCCAGCCCTTAATAGGTTTATGTGTCTAATTTTACAGCTTCATGACTGCGGGCCTCTGATGCATGCTGACATAGCAAGTCTTCATTGGCAAATTACTTGGGCTTCCCTCTCCTCCTGCTCAACAGGAAAGAAAAAACACTTCACTTTAAGTGCAGTGAAAGTCAACATAACTGCTTTTTGAATGTGCTTACAGCCTGCACGATGCTTACATTACAATCATGGCGCGGAGTTTAATGCATTAGCCCTCAAAACATCACGAATCAAGTATGTGCTGTGAGACTACCAGGAGCCAGGAATAAATTTGGTGCATGTTCTTCCTCCATCAAATGCTGCTGGTTTCACACAAACATCCGGATGCGTCACCACGACAACCAAGATGTTTGTATTTCCTGTGCAAAAAGCTGAGTGATAGAGAGAGAGAGGTATTTGCATTCTCAATTATCTGGGCTATTATTATCAGAGGAGGAATCTTAAAACACTCCACCAGACCGTGTCAAAACAGTGAAACATGAGAAGATTCAGATGGGGAACATTAACCCCCTCAGACCTGATATTATCCATCGCAAGGAAATTTTCCAGTTATTATGTCCGCCTCCCATGTAGAAATATGTGGACTATGTTTTGTCATGTCCACTACAACAGACATTACAATTAAGATGGTGAAAATGTAATTGACCTTTTGCTACATTATAGCTTAGTAACCATAACTAAGCTTTTGATTTCTCCACAAGTAGGAGTGGTGTGCATGGTGCTGTAATAAGAGT